GGCCTGCTATTCTTTTCTAAGATAATTGATCTGATACGCTATATAGCAAACAGAGGGAAAAAATTCAAGCGATAAAAATATAACCAAGAACTTTAGTAGCCCATCATAAAGCTCTTAATTAGGGCTTTATCTTAACTTAGCGAGAAAGACCCAGGGACGAAAAACCTTGAATCATTGCTGGAAACTATCGCAGGGTCTGCGTCAAGTCTTGTTCCTATTGTCCCCTGTCCTTTGTGCCGATACGGAGAATCATGCGCCTGATGGGTCTCACGTCATCATGTACACTTCAATGCGTCCACGATCTCTTGAGTTGCATGTTGTCACTAACCATATTCTAATCACCCTCCATAGCAGAAGTTGCAGACAATCCCTGCAGATCTAACTCCTCCGCTGACAAACCACCACGTGCCAGCTTTACTGTTCAGTCTGTAAATGGCGTTTACATTGTGTAATCCTGATGAAGACCATAATCGCCACCGCAAGTGATCTATTCTATTCCACTCAGATCCGTCTCGAACAGAATGGCCCCGAGTCGCCAATGAATACCCGTGTATCCAAGACTATGTTAATATTTGGCTTGAGGATGTCCAAAAACCGACCACTGGTCTGAATCAACGACCGCAAAGGCCAAGAGACCAAGGCTCGAATCCCTCGTAGGTGAACTCTCACTTGGCTAGCACGTACACGGAACGTACCTGAGAAAGCAGCGTTTCATATCTTCACGCGAAAAACAAAGCTGCCGCTTTCTTTCAAGTGTCCAGAGCCCTGTTTGGGGTCGAGGTTGAGCATAGAATGATCGAACGTGAAGCGCTTGCGCTAGATCAACTCCGTAGAACCAAACTGTTCGACAGCACCTTGAAGACGAGCCGCTTCCGTGAAGTAATCACCGATAGGTTTCACAGATGAAAGGCGAGCGGGCGATTGCTCATCCAGGGAATGAAACATATACGCGTTTACATAAGAGTTGAAATCAACGAAGACCAAGGCACGAATCAACATCAGTCAGTCAAACATTGCTGTTTTGAGCCTAGAGACGACCTGCGCATCGTCCTTGCAGTGTTTTAGCATCGCTTCTAACGGCGGGCGCGATGTCTTCTGCTGCTGGAGCCGGAACAGTACGGTCGCAAGCTCGTCACCACGGGCAACAAGGTTGACCTGGGTTTGGAGAAAGGCTTCCCGAGCACAACAAGCGAGCGCAGTGCGAAAAGATAATTGATCCTGGTCGGGGATGAGGTTCTCAAATTGCTTGCTGAGAAGACTGATTTGAATGTCGAAAATGTCCCCATTGCGCAATGGCGTTGAGAGCATCGAGCTTCATGTCACATCGATTGAGAGCATCCAGTGCGCTCAGTGCAGCCTCTGAAGTGCCGATGGCGTCCACCATTTTCTTGATCTATTTAAAGAGGTTACTGATCTTTTTAGTGATTGGCTGCAGCTTCTTATATAGTTTTTTGATTTTCTCCACGATCTCTTTGATCTTGGTAGTTTCATGAGCGACCTTTGTTCCTGTTTTACCGACGTCGGTCGTTGTTGCCGCAGCTAGACTTGGCTAGCAGAGCTTATGAGGTAAGATCCCTGAGAGACTTTAAACTGTTGGAAGCACTTACCTCCGGCTGTCGTGATAGTAGCAGCGACTGCAATACCAATGCCGATTACCACGAAGAGGATATTTTAGTGCTGAAAGCTTTTATTTCTTCTCCAAGCGATCACATCGACCTTAAACTTTACGCTTGCATCATCAACTAACCTCTTGGTACTCTAGAACTGGGCCTCTCCGTAGCTATGGGCGTCTGAAGCCTCGTCATATCGCTTGTTCGCAAGCGCGAAAAGGAAACCGTACTCCTCTAAAGCCTTGTCAATCTTGCGGAGGAGGTCAGCTCCCGAGAATGTCCAGTTTACAGAACTGCGTTCGGCAGACAGGTAGCCCAGAAACGTGTCTTCAAAAGTCTAGGGTGCTAGTAAACGGGATTTCAGAATTCGCTTACTACAGGAGTGGATGTTTAGTGATAGTACGCTAGACACTGGCGTTCCTGAGTACTGGGCGGCTAGGCTGGTGCACAGGGACTGTGCTTGAGCATGAAGCATGGATCCGGCCTTTGTCGCTGTCGTAGCGCATACCCAATTCAGAAGCGACATCGAGAGCTTGGGTTTGATGTACGCTTGAGTAGTAGCTATCAGGTATCAGAAATTTAGAAGCCTAGGGAGATTGCTGTGAAGTGTTAATGACAAGAAGAAACTGGCGATTTCGTAGACTCACTCTGTAAGAAACGGAACACCCTTCAAAGTACCATCGTCATTGACGGGATTCATCCGGTTCTCATACTAATACTCGATATTAAACGGCCTCTGTCGTACTGCATCCTTCAAGGTTCCACGTTCTAAAGTGTATTCCATCCCAAATGCACCTTCTGGGATCGAGACTGTAACTCGATTCTTCGACGTTCCTTTGCCTTCGCACTCAATCTGAAAGGGAGTTGGAAGTCACCGGACGTAAATCCCAAGACGTGAATTCCGACTCATGCTAATACGAATGGCAGGACTGGGCACCTTGCTTGTCGAGAAAATAATTTGACGAGCGGCGATATCCAGAAATAAAAGTGTCAGGGCTCTGGAGTACGAAAGTGCCTAAGAGCACCAAGGTATCGCAATACAAATTGATTCTGCGGGGCATAGTCTTGGATGACGTGGCACTGTTCAACAGACTCTCGAGAACATTATCCGTGTACTGAATAAGAGTTTTGTAGTGGCCCTATGAGTGTCTTTGGGTAATAACTTTATGAGTTTCGGAATATGACTAAATCCCAAACAGATTTGTAGTAAAATACGACAACATACATTGAGTTTCTTGGCACCGTAGTATTCGAAGCGAACAAGCTGTTGGGCTAGATCCTGTTCTCCAAGGATCAAGCCCTCAAATGCCTAGTGGGCAGCGCGCTCCATATTCATTTCGTGAGGAATTTATCCTCTCGGACGAGAGAAGTCGAAAGTACAAGATGCTTGCAAGAAGTCGACAGAAGAAAGCACTCACCTCTGCAGCTTCGATGTTAAATATTTAATTTTGTTTATGCTTTTACTATCATATCCTTTCCGGCTTGGTCTTCAAACTATCCAGCTCAATATAGGTATCGCCGGCGTTATCGAATATCCAAAGCGGTACGCCATTGCATACAGCCCAGGCCCAGAAGAAAGTTTTCGACGGCATGTGAGGCATGCTAGCCCCGCCATACGGTTGGCGATATCGTCAATGACACTTGCTAGCCAGTGTAGAGGGCCGTACAGTACTTTGACAGAAGCACTATGACGTGACTTCTGGGTGCGCTCATAAGACTGCAGATAGAGATGCCCTGGTTTCTAAGCGGTATGAAGGTTTACTTAGTTGGCCACTGTAGCACCACCATGATTACTCCAGCATTTAGATTGAGATATCCTAATGTTGGTGAGCTCAAGGAGAAGCCGTAGTGACTGGTCAATTCAACCAATCCGATTAATATTTCTGACGAGAAGCAACAATTCACTGAAATCATTGATCATCTTATCTAATTCAAGGATTATCATCCTAGGTATGGTCCGAAGAGACGCTTTAGTCGAGCTGCTCTAGCTCATTGGGGGAAATGATAAAGGTCAAGGTGTCGAAGCGTAAGCTGCTGCCCGAATCGTCACGCCGACACTTTCACCTAGGCTTTGCGTTGGCAACGCGATCTTGCTGTGATCCAAGAGACGCTGACAAGGTATTTTTGGGCATCTGCAGACCTTTCTGGGACACTCGGTCATCGTGCGAACTTCTCAATAGGGAGACAAGTCCTCGGTTCATGCGGAAGTGGACGTTTTGGAATACTGGTCGATAAAAATGGCGTGGGCGAGATTGAGGGGAAGAAATCACAGTGCCACACTAGGACAATACATACCGGGAGGAGCCGATAACATACAAGTCAGGTACAAGCTAAACAAGCAAACTGTAGTTTTAGGGACGTTTCCCGAGCTGGGAATGATTACTATACTCCGTGCCTGGGCTGGAAACTTGGGCAACTGGGAGAGTAGAGAGGGAATATCAATGCAGTAATGGCTACCTTTTAGAGATAAAGATTTCAAGCATTGGACTCAAAGCAAGATTTTAATGATAAAATTTTAGTTGTTGTGCGGCGGGGCCTTCCTCAATCCTCAAAAACGAGCTTGAGATGTCTATGAGGCTGTGTGGAAATATGGACGCCGATCAAACATGCCATGAAATACTCAACACGCGAGACATTGATTCATTTTCATAGCAACGAAAATTCATTCTTCTATTGAACGGCGATCAGGTGTAAAAAAGAACAGATTAATAACTATGGTGATTTTAGAAGAGAGGTGTGATTCTATGCTCAGCTTAGCCGTTTCCATTCAATTGACAAATGAATCAGCTAAAGTTCTAGGACTAAGAGTGTAAGAATGCAAAGACAGTTCAGGGAGGAAAGGATAGTGTAAGAAGGAGTGTAAGTAGAAAAGGATATAGAGGAGGTTAGAATGTGAGAGTGGGGGAAGAGGGGTGCATACAGCTAGGAAGAAGATAGAAAGTAAGGCGTATCCCGTGCGCTGGGCTGTTTCCCCTCAATGGCAAACCCAACGCCTACTCAGTAGTACTCAGAGCAAATGACCGGGCCATTAAGGTCCATGAGCTGGCCAATGGTTACGTTGGGGAGAATATCTGCCATGTAGATGTTATGGTTCAAAGTGGTCACGTTGCCGCCGTTGTCACCAAAGTAGTTGGTAAACTCCGGACCAGTGCCACCCAGATGATTGGTTGGGTTTTGGGGTGCTCCTGGAGCACTCGGAACTCCTGTTCCATTGGCTCCACCACTTGGCCCAACAGGTGTGGATCCAGAGATAGGAAGATTCTCCCCCCGCCCCCCCCCCCCAAATGTCTAGCAAACGGTTTGGAAGATCCAGTTTCTGCCATTCACACCACAGATTGTCGGGCCAAGAGTGGTGCAGGTAGAACAGCGGATATCACCAGGGCTCAGAGCGTCGTCCTGCATCTATGATTTATCAATCAGCAAAAAGGTCTAAGGGAAGGAACCTAAGAGACTCACAATGCCACCGATACCTCTATGACCGGCCTCATGAGGACCCGAACCCGAAGCCCAACATTCCCATGCCGAAGTGTATTTCGTTATCGCGTTACTCTTAGCAATATTCTCCCGGTCGGTCCCATTCAACGAGGCTTCGTCATTTTTACGTGTGAGGTAGTGGTCCTTTGTTGACCCATCCCCCAGCCATCGCAGCGTCAGATTCGCAAATTTACCATCAATCACTCGATATGTGCCGTCCGTACCGTTACCGCCAAAGTATCGATCATCGAACATGTCGGTATCATACATCCTACCTACGGCAGATTATTCATACCAATATCTGTAAAGGTCAGGATATTCTGGTTTTATAACTGTACGGGAACTTTTCGTTTCTGGTGTTTATACTTACGGCATGTGGCCAGTGTAATTACACTCGGTCCTAATGAGATGCTCATGCGCAGTCATGAGGTATCGTTGGAACGGTAAAAAGGCACTGACGTTGTGGACACTGGCAGACTGAACTACATGTGGCCACTGAATGTCATCCCAACGCGACACGGCCCCTGTGAGACCTAGCTTCGAAGGTGCGGCCAGAAGGCAGAGATCGGCGTTTACGTACGCATCCTTCTCGTCGAAAGTCAGGGAGGTCCTATCAAAATAACGTCAGCTGCGTTCGGCGATTGAAGCAAGATATTATACCATGATACTCTGCTCCGAATCTCCATGGAACTTAAATTTTCGTGGGCCAAGGCGAGGCAAACACTTATTGCCAGAACTAGAGAATGAACTAGTTTCCAAGATATCATCTTAGAATCCTCGCTTTTGTTATTGCAATGAATTTCAAAATTTGGGAGATAATGAAAGACGAGATGCAGGAGAACGCGTTAAACCTCTTGCTGGTATCTCCTCTTCCAACGCACCTGAATAAACTACTTATACTTGCTGCAAGTCATCTCTTGTGATGTATGTTTCCTTTGAATTTAAGTACTCATGGTGAAGGCTTGGCAGAGGTTTTTTGGGAGGTAATCCGAGGTGATACGCGTCTCCTTGGCACTAGCACTTTTTGGTGATGTGCTCATGTCATTTGTGCAAGATTACGACAACAAGCTAGTCTGTGTATAGATGTTAATAGGATAGAGTTGCAATTTGGGGGATTTACTCCACATACTATGAAAAACAGTCCCTTTCGTTAGACATTTTTGAGCTACGAGGGACGCGTGCTCGCCCTTTCTTAGACCACCTTGAGGACCACACCCAAGAAAGCAGTGCTTTAGACGAAACATGACTACGTGGCTGCGTTAATCCTAGTACTCCAAGTGACTTTCAGTTGGTCTAACGCGTGGCCATAATCTCATTATGTTCAGTTCTTTTAGCGAAAGGTGCGCTAAGTCAAGGTATGGAAGGGTCTGCGTGAAGGAAGTTTCTGTCAGGCAGGATAGGAGTCTGTTTCCCTGCATAGCCCCGAGTCCGACGACGTAACTAGGATGGAGTAAAGCCTGATGCACATACGCGTTCAATATTGAATGTAGGGGTACGGCGCAGTACTCCGCACAAGATTAAATTGATTGGACTTAACTCACCACTTAGTGGGAGATGTCGATGATAGGTGGCGCTGACATATCAAACTGCCTGGAGTCACTGAATTTCAGGGGTTCCATAAACAAAACGCGAGTGCTCTTTCAACTAAACTTCAAACAAGATGTTCAATCTCAAGGTCCTCACTGCTACATTTGCAGTCACCTCTGTTTTTAGCGGTGTCAACACTCACCCTGGAGAGAAGCACTCGGCTGCGCACGCCAAAAGGGAAATCGAACGATACTCATCGGCTCATACTCACGTCACCAGGGCATTCTCGAAAATCCATGAATTCCCTTATGTGGCGGCATTGAAAGAACGTGCTATTGCTCGTCGGCTTAGGACATGGAACGCGCTTCGCGAAAAGCGTGGCATTGTCAGCAGTAAGTCGGGTTTCTCTGATCTCATTGGTTCTTATTGTACTAACTAATTTCAGAGCGTTCTTTTGAAAAGAGAACCTTAGAAGATCTCGAGAGATACCTGAATATGAGCCACGACGAAACTCAACTAGGATACACTCTCAATACACCCCTGGAAGTTATCTTTCGCAAAAATGCAACGGCAGCTCTCGTACCAGAGGCTATTATTGGTTCTTATTTCGCATCTGGTGAATTGATGCGACAGGATGTTACCGAGAATCTTGCCGGCGTACCCATGCATCTGGACATCCAATTCCTCAATATTAATACTATGAAGCCAGTCAAAGACCTCTATGTAGACATCTGGCACTGTAATGCGCTGGGCGTCTACTCCGATGATAGCACGGAGGGTCAAGCCGGTCTGAACACGACATGGCTCCGTGGTCTCCAAGTTACTAGCCCTGAAGGTGTGGTAGAGTTTGACACCATTGTACCCGGCCACTACGGTGGACGTGCACACCATATTCACGTTTTTACCACTATCAACTCCACGACGCTGCCCAACCATACATACATAGCCGGGGTTACGAACCACATTGGTCAATTGTTTTTGGAACAGTCCTTGCTTGACGAGGTGGAAATACAGTGCCCTACAACGAGAACACACAGTCACTGATGAAGGTTATTGAGGATAGCATCGCCGCGGACGTGTCTACTGCTGATGTTGATCCATTAATGAAATACATACGTCTTAGCGACGACATCCCGGATGGTGTGCTGGCGTATATCACTGTGGGAATCAACATGAAGGCTAACCATAGCGAAAACTATCAGCGAGCTGCGCACTGGCAGGAAGGTGGCGGTGTTGAACTTTCAGGGTGGGTTCCTGTACTTGTTTCTAGAACGGACAGCCAACTACCGTCGGCTAGTTCCTCTACTATAGTCACTTCTTCTTAAGTATTAAATAGACATCAGTGAAATGTTTAGAGATATTCTCTATCTCTTCAAATGGTTAACAGGAGTTGAATTAAACAACCTAAGAGTATTAGGACAACAATTAACGTACCTCATGGGTTGGCCGCCCACTCTTGCCAAGACCACGTCAAAACCACCAGATTATAGCCTAATATAGCCTACTGTGAGCCTATTTAGAGGAATGTAACATAAGATACTATTCTAAGGCGACGTTTACTATATACTTACACGTTCGCACGTTATGCCTAGTCTAATTATACTATCTATACTATCATTGATATATTTTACCAACTTTAGCGCATTTCTACTTCTTTAACTTCTTCCTACGACTGGAATAAAGGGATATAAATAGCGGAAGTAACTGCTTGTTCTACTAGTAGCTCAAAGGTATTCTTTATTACTACTTATCTAGCAATTGACTTAGAGGCAGCCTGTCGATAGTTTCTAGTTGAAAAGAGAAAGAAGAAATATGCTAGGAGAGAGTGTAATATGCTACGCCCAATGCAGTGAATGCACGTGATTGTATCACGTGTATACGTTATACTAACACTATTTTTTTTTAGCTAGAGTTAATTACATTCTATAAATTAAAATCCTAGTGTAGCTACTCTAGATACTTAAAACACTTTGTATTAGTTTAGATATTTTAACCTTCGTTAATTAAGGATATAAAATTTAAGCCTAAGGCTAGGAAGACTAAACGGAATGTTCATGGGAATTGAAGAGAAGCAGTGACCTAATCTTAAGAATTGCTAGTATAAGGTAATTTTTACTTTCTATTTATCTAAGCAAAACAATCCTAACTAGGTCGTATTTAGAAAGCGAAAGAAATGTTCCTGTCGTCTCTTAAACAAACACTAGAAGTCCAGAAAGGAGTATATCTAGAAGGATTTGAGAGCATGAACATAGAACACTACGACTTATTTGCAAGACTTTAGGTCGGAACAACACCAAGATGAAGTATTGTGATATCTGTTACACTTAACTAGTGTTTGCAAGCTTTGCTTAGGGATATGACCTTAATGATATTATGCATCGATGGTGAAAATATCTAAACGTGCTTCAAAATCCCCTCCAACGTGTACAACATGGTTGCCTTTGTTAATACCAGTAGTTTTTGGCAACTGTGGCAGAGCAGGTACCCCTATCTCCTCTCCACTGATTTTCAGCACTAGATTTTCTCCAGCCTCGAAAATAATGCCTGTAGGCCAAAGCTGAATTTCCAAGCGTACAATAGTGCCTGGCTGCACTTTCTGCACTTTTTCATGTGAAAGTGTATTCCAGGTCTTACCGGATTTTTGGCGCGATACGTGCCTGTGGGATGCGCGCAACATACCGTTTGGGCCCCAATACTTGAAAATTCTATTCTCTGTTGCTTTGGCCACAATATCTTGTGGTACACTGTCGGGTACAGGAACGTTGAGATGCGTGAGCATAGTACCATCTGCAGAGGCCTTGAATATGTGGGTGTATATATCAAGATCGTCCTGGTTGGGCGAGGAAACATCAATGACTAGCGTGCTTGGGCCTACCAGAGCGACTCTGCTGGTAAAAGTATGTGTGAATTCGAGCTTTTCGGACGATTCTGAGTTGTAGCTCAGTCTTTCTGGAGAAGAGGGCTTACTCTTTGACATGCCGCCAAAATGAGTGAGATGCAGTACATCGCGGTCTGCAGATGGGAGATGCCACGGAAGATCTAGAAAGGGTCTATCAACTATGGGTGACCCTGTATAGGTGAGCAACGCCAGGCGGACTGGTACAGTTCCCTCCCAGCCATTGTCTACTCCCTTCAGGTACCGATCGAAAAATTTACACAGATCCTCTGTTCGGTTAGGCGAATACAGATCGTACCATTCCTGAGTGGCGTGAAGAGAAAGCCTGGAGAAAAATTAGTGTCTATTTCGTCATAACGTCGCTTGAAGCCAAACCATTTGTCTTTGTGGGGGATTTCTTCGAAAGCGCGGAGAGAACCAATGGTGTGCAAGTCGCTCGAGTAGCTTGCTCCGATGTAAGTAGGGACTTTGATTTTGGAAAAGTCAACGCGCTTGTCCTCGAGGTAGTCGTTGGTTGTGATAGTTGATTCTATCGCCGCGACCCAATCCTCTTGTTTGCCGCGCCCTATGGAATGGTAAACCACCACCTTGAATCTCTCTTCAAAGTTGTATACTTACCAGGGAGAGCTCCTGCGATCATTTTTGCGAAACCCGTAGAAGGAATCCCCCCGCGGAATGAGTGTTCGCGTAATTCGTCTGAGGTCCCTTCAAGGGGCGCGATCGCAAGAAGGTGAGGCGGTTGTTCCGCAGCTATAGCATATTGCGACATAGCAAGCCACGAGTTGCCTGCCATCCCAAACTTCCCATTGCTCCAGGGCAATTTTGCAAGTTCTTCAATGGCATCGTAGCCATCTCGTCCTTCAGCAGTACCCCACCAGAGTATGTCTCCTTCGGAATCGCCACTACCTCTCGCATCAACGTTGATGATGGCATACCCTCTGGGTACCCATTCAGCGGGATCGAGCCTGCACTTTTGTCAGTCCGCAGTCCCGGCTTAGGTGACAATTCGGTATTCACCCCTCAAAATTCTCATATCCAGATTGAGAGCTTTGAGGAATACCAGCCCGTAATGGCATAAAGTCAAGATTTATTGGTCCTGAATTGCTCTTCCCATATGGCCCGTACATGATAATACCGGGGACTTTCGCATCACCTTTTGGGCGGAAAATATCAGCTCGAATTTTCACTCCGTCTCGGAGTGTCAGAATCTGGTTTTTATCAAAGATCGTGGCACTACTGAAAGCTCGAAAACCAGGATTCTTTCGGTGTCCTGGTGGGAGTTCCATACTTTCCGCAATCGCAGGAGGTGCATCGGTTCGAATCGAATCTCGAAGCTTTATGTGATTAGTAAAAAACGACATGATTTATTACTAAGAGAATCGTGTAGTTGATGCCGTGGTGTTTAGATATGATATAGTACATTCACATTTCAATTCTTGAAGTGGCTAAAATCAGGCATAATGTATGTCAGGTGTCTGCGACGGCGGTTCAGGTCATGTGGTCTTTTACACACGGCTAATGCTTTGCCGAGCTTATGTTAGCCTATCAGATCACATTGCCTAGATACATTGCGGGAACAAAGTACCGAGATGAAGTACCGGGAATGTACATATATGTACGAATTTGTAAGAGAGATCAGTAAAGGCTGTAAGCAGTCGCAACATTCAAGCCCCTGCTACGTTACCGCAGAGTTCCGCAGGGTTCCGCTTTCTTCTGCACACGCATACAGTATAATCTTTCTTATATATTATTAGAACTAGAAGTAGGCGTTAGCTATTATTCTTTATCTATCTCTTAGGCAAAACTTTCGTCTCTTTGCTATAAGCAGTCTATATATTGTCTAGCTCTCGCTTTATCGGCGTATATAGGATCTCTATCCCTCTAATCGACTTTTCTATGTTCGAGTGCTAATTCAGTTGAACAAATGTTGCTTGGAGATTATAGTAGGGGAATGTAGATATTCAGTTCACTTGTACACTAAAAGCATATGTGATAGTGCATGATTAGTTAAGTAGAAGACTAGTTTCATTAGGTCGTTTATATCTGGCTTCAAGCCGATTGCAAATAGCTATTCACTCGAGGAATGGGGTCACAGAGCTTCAGGATTTCCCGAAAAAGCTAGTGTGGGGAAAGTTGATCCTAGCACGCTAACTACAGCTTAGCTCTTACCTCTGCATGAAAGTTTGACTAGATGAGGGGGTGGTAGAAGGCTGTGAATTGGATAGTCGGAATTAGATATCAGGATGTGGGGCTGTCGGTTATGTTTCAACAGGCGGGGAAGTGGTCATTTGTCGCCCACAGCTGCGTGATTTGCATCGTAAACTGCCGAGCATTTATTACACGCTTGCGGCCCAAGCCACCCACGACCCTCTCGATAATCTTTTCTACTAACTGTTTCTGCGACTGCACCGAATAAATTCCCTTCGTGCTCTACAGCTAACACAAGTTTTTTGAGGCAGTAGGCTGGTTCACCGCATGTAAAACCGTAATAGCGTGCGGTATCACTAATAGAACTATAATCATTATCTTTATATGCATGATTGCTGGTGTGCGCAAGACTCATAGCAAGCGTAAAAACTACGGAAGATACACGCAAAGATTGCTAATCACGAAAATGTTGCGTATGGGTAATGTTCTTTACGTGATGATCAATTATTGCGATTTCAACAAGGGCGTGTACTTTGGCTTAGTGTGGGAAAGCCGAAACCTCCGCTAAGCCGAAATGCAGCTCTGATGGACACGGAAGACGCGAGCTAGTTCAACGAAAGGTCCGGCAACCACCGGATGCGCTAATTACCGGCTCGAGGAAGAACATCGACTCTGTGATCCTGCATTTGGCTGTGCTGAATCGTTGAAAGTGGTGTAGCACCAAGAAGGCACTGTCAGTCTCGGCAGATTTTTTGTTTCATTGACAATAGGCACGTGCGCACTGATTGCTTTGCGGCGCTTCCTTCACCGACCTCTCAACCGCTATCGGGTTGACCTAGCTTGCCCAAACCAATTAACGAGGCACCACCAACTTCATGAACATTATAATGAACCAACAAAGGGAGATGCGGTTTTCTTGTTCGCAATGTAGCCAACAGTTCCGCCGTAAGGACAATCTTAATCGTCATCTTCGTCGCTATACTAGACACAAATCACTATGATGTACACTATACACTACACACTTTTCGCGAAGGTTTGTATAGTATTTTGATAATATCGAGATAGTAATTACAATATAGTATGGGGACGCTTTGCTTAGATATAGTCTTACATATAGTAATTATACAATAGAGATTAGGTAGCATTTAGCCTTAGAAGGGATAAGGATAAACTAGACGTGTAGGATCTATGTGAAGTCTAAGAAACGGTATGCAAATAGGATATTATATAATAATATTCTTACTAGCGGTAGAAAGAATAGTCCTTCTAAAGGCGATATAACTAATAAACTATAAAAACTTCTCCAAAGACACACCAACTTCGAGTTTTCTAGAATAGGTGTAATTTTAGCTCAATATATACAAATCCATCCCAAGAAA